AAAAAATCTCATTAAATTCCCCAAAAAATCTACACAAAATTCCCTAAAAATCCTCAAAAAAATCCCCAAAAAAGCCCCCCCAAAATGCCCTAAAAACCCCAATAATTCCCAAAAAAATCCCCTAAAATATCCCAAAAACTCCTGTGAAATTCCAAAAAAAATCCCCTCAAAATTCCCTAAAAATCTCAATAATTCCCAAAAAAATCCCCAAAAAATCCCAATAAAATTTAAAAAAAAAATCCAAAAAAATCCAAAAAAATCCCTAAAAAATCCCTAAAAATCCCCAAAAATCCCCAAAAATTCCCAAATTTCCCCCGAATTCCCGGAATTCCGGGATTTTTTTTGGGAATGTGCAGATCCAGCCGGATTTGCGGGAGCTGATGGAGACGATGACCAGGATGAGCTCCCTGCCCCCGGATTTCGAGGGACGCCAGAAGGTGAATCAATGGTGAGATCCCAAAAAAAACCCGGAAAATTCCGGGAATTCCCAGAAAAATCCAAGAATTCGGAGAATTTTGGGAAGGAAAAATTCCCAGGAGGAAATCAGGGAAGTTTGGGAATGAAATTTAAGAGGGAAATCAGGGAATTTGGGGGAAGAAAATTGGGAAATTTGGGATTTTTGGGGAAGAAATTGGGAATTTTGGGGATTCTGGGAGTGAAAATTGGGGAATTTTGGGAATTGTTTTGGAATTTTGGAGATTCCAGGATGGGAATTTTGGGATTTTTTTTGGAAGTTTGGGAGGGGATTTTTTTAGGAATTCTGGGAATTTTCAGGGGAATTTTTTTGGGATTTAAGGAATTTTTTTTGTGGAATTTTCTTGGAATTTTTTTGGAATTTTTTTGGGAATTTTGGGAGTTTTCAGGGTAAATTTTTTGGGAATTTTTGGGAGGGAATTTTTGGGAGTTTCTGGGAGAATTATTGGAATTTTGAGGTTTTTTTGGGAATTGTGACAATTCTGCATGGAATTTTTGGTGAATCTTGGAAATTTTAGGTGGAATTTTGGGATTTTGGGGGGGAATTTTGGGGAGGGAATTTCAGGAATTTTGAGTGGATTTTTTTGGGAATTTTCAAGGAATTTTTGGAAGGAATTTCAGGAATTTTGAGGGAATTTTTGGGGAATTTTTTAGGAATTTTGGGATTTTTGGGGGGAATTTCAGGAATTTCATGTGGAATTTTTTGGGAATTTTGGGGGGAATTTCAGGAATTTGGGGCGGATTTTTTTTTTTAAATTTTGGAAATTTTCTGGGAATTTTTTCAGAATTTTCAGGGAAAGTTTTTTGGGAATTTCCTTGGGAATTTTGGGGTGGAATTTAAGGAATTTTAGGGAATTTTGGGGGGGAATTTGAGGAATTTTGGGGTTTGTTTTTTTTTTTTAATTTTGGGAATTTCCAGAGCAATTTTTTCAGTTTCTTGGGGAATTTTTTGGGAATTCCCTGGGGAATTCTGGCGTGGAATTTCAGGAATTCTGGCTGGAATTTCTTGGGAACTTTGGGGTGAAATTTCAGGAATTGTGGCTGGAATTTTTGGGAATTCTGGGATGGGAATTCTGGCTGGAATTTTTTGGGAATTCTGGGGTGGGAATTTCAGGAATTGTGGCTGGAATTTTATGGGGGGAATTCTGGCTGGAATTTTTTGGGAATTCTGGGGTGGAATTTCAGGAATTCTGGCTGGAATTTCTTGGGAATTCTGGGAATTCTGGGGTGGAATTTCAGGAATTGTGGCTGGAATTTTTTGGGAATTCTGGGGTTGGAATTTCAGGAATTCCGGCTGGAATTTTTGGGAATTCTGGGGTGGGAATTTCAGGAATTCCGGCTGGAATTTCTTGGGAAGTTTGGAGAATTTGAGGGTGGGAATTTCAGGAATTGTGGCTGGAATTTCTTGGGAATTCTGGGATGGGAATTCTGGCTGGAATTTTTTGGGAATTCTGGGGTGGGAATTTCAGGAATTGTGGCTGGAATTTTATGGGAATTTTTGGGAATTCTGGGGTGGAATTTCAGGAATTCTGGCTGGAATTTTTTGGGAATTCTGGGATGGGAATTTCAGGAATTCCAGCTGGAATTTTTGGGAATTGTGGGAATTTCAGGCTGCAGACGCTGAGCGCGATGTCGGCCTCGGACGAGCTCGACGATTCCCAGGTCCGGCAGATGCTCTTCGACCTCGAGGCCGCCTACAACGCCTTCAACCGCTTCCTGCACGCCTGACCAGTCCAAACCAGTCCAAA